ATATTTTCCTAAGAATTTTGTTTTCAAAAGTTACTAACCGTTTTTCTGATTTTTTGCTCATTACCCAACACTCAGATCCATACATTAGTGTCGGTCTAATTATAGTTTTATAAACTCTTACTTTAGTATTGCGGGATAACAGCTTTGAGCTCAAAATTTTGTTACATGCATGGAGGCTTCTGTTTGCAGCATTGAGTCTGTTAGTTATTTCCAGTTCTTCATTATTATCATTTGTTAATAAGACTCCCAGGTAGGTGAAATTGTTCACTTTTTGGAAAACATGGTTTTCTATCTGCAGGACTTCATTGTCCTCTTCTTGGTCATCTCGTCTACCACATTGCATATATTTAGTTTTTCTATCATTTATTTCAAGGCCAGCCTTTTTCGTTTCCTCAATCAATATTCTGACTAGATCTTCTAAGTCTTGTTTTGTATGTGCTAATATCGCAACATCATCCGCAAAGGCTAAAATATTTATTTTCTTTCCTATCTTTATCCCTACCTCTGAACTTTTAACTTTCTGTAGTGCTTCTTCTAGAGCAATGTTGAAAAGTATTGGGGATATTCCATCTCCCTGTCTCACTCCAGTGTCTACTGAGAAAGCCTCTGACACTTGTCCTTCCACTTTTACTTTACATTTTGAGTCTTGGACACTTAATGAGGCCATTTTTATAAGTTTTTTTGGAATTCCCTGTTTTTCCATTACTTTCCATATTCTTTTTCTGTCTAAACTGTCGTAAGCTTTTGTAAAGTCTATGAAAATGCAGTAGAAAGATTGTTTAAATTCATAGTATTTTGCTATTGATTCTTTTAAAATGAAAATTTGATCTATGGTAGATTTTCCTTTGGCAAAGCTATATGCACCATATTTAATTAAATGCGAAGAAACAACACTATTACTCGTTAAAACAAAATATTAACCGTAGTTGTCTTGTATTATGTAAGGAATAATTAGTATGATAATATAATATGATAATAATTCACAAAGTAATAATTGGTTATCCGGCCAGCCCAAGAACCTTTGATTCAAGCGAAATTCAGTTTAGAAGCCCTACTGCTATTGCTTATACACATTACCTCGGTAATAATAGATGACATTTTTTCCAGCCAAATACGGTAGTTTCAGTAAAAATGTGTTTAGTCTTGAAATATATTAGTAAAAATCTCGATATGTAGTATTAGTATAAGTCTAGTCTTAAAAAGCGTTTTCTTGTGATACAGTGGGTTTCCTTGGTGTATAAAGTTTTAAATTGTATAACACAGAGCATTCTCCAGGTTACATCTTAACATCTTTGGACTACCAAGACTCTTGAAACGGAGTTTTTTTTATGCATAGAGATTTTTACTGGTAATGTGTAATAACCGTAGGGCTTCTAACCTGAATTTCGCTTAAATCAACGAATCTCGGGATAGTCGGTCAACCAATTATTCCTTTGTGGGTTATTATTATATTATTATAACAATATATTAATTATAACAAACATACATTTGAAAATGAAAAAATATAGATCCAATAGTATTTGTTGCAAATTCAACTATGTGTTTTTACTTGTATGTACACTATTACGAAGTATATTGAATTGTATATTGATCTAGATAGCTGGAAGTGTAAATGCAAGTACACTACAACAGCAGCACTATACTAATTATCCATTCCAAAGTGCATAATACCATTGAATAAAGCATGAAATATATTTACGTAATTGCCTGAGTTTTATTATGTATTTCATAATACATTACATTAGGCAACTGGCTTACGTTTTCCATTCTCATCCCAGCATAAATTAAGTTGTTCAGCTTTAATCATAACTTTCTCTGTTTGATAAGTTCCTTGTACAGGCCTAAAGCCATGTGAACAAGAACAATAAATCTAAGGATAGAAACACAATCAATCAATTTGTTATGGATGTGCCATAGTTTTAATTATGCAAATTTTATTGCTTAAAATAATGAGGTGTGTTTGGAATTTATCTCAAACTATGCCGCTATAGAAAGAGGCATAGTTGATGACATTTATAGTAACCATCTGAATAATTATTCTAGTAAAGATTCATTTTTAGCTAAAATTTTCAAATGCTTTATTTAACCTCTGTCCAAAAAATAACATAAGGCAAACGTCAAATTGATCACGTAAGAATCCAAACAGCTCGCTAGAGGTATATCGCTGAAGCTACAATCAGGTATATGTATGAATAACGTTTTTTTTATTGCATGAATGCATGTATATTGTTTGACTTTAAGTCCTGCATAGTTTGTTGTACGCTAGCTCTAGAGTGTGCATTTTAAAAGATAATTAGTTCTTGAAAGTAGACAGTTTATAAAGTAGCCTTAAGATTTAATTGCCTTGAATGATGTTATATTGTATTATGTAGTCTTTATTATAGTTTTCTATTATGAAAGTGAAAGTTAAGTTATTAATTTATTTATTAATAAATGTGTATTAAGATTATTTACAATTTCGTCTGTGTTCATAAAATAATTAATCTCTGTGTAAAACGAAAGGTTATTTAATACTTTACTTAACCCTATAACGGTTAGTTACCGTGTAAAAAGTAACAGAGAAAAATTACAATCTGACATAACTCTTAAATTTGCCGATCATATAAAAGAATTATTACCAAGAAATTTGGAAAAGATTTTAAGTCATAATAGAACAAATAAATAATCTTAATTAAATGTTGCAAGTTTAAAAATGTAATTTTGTTGCATACAAGAACAGTAAATATGCGTGTTTATGCAATAAAAATTGCAATCAATATACGTTTAATTTAAAACTTTTTGTCTATGTATTGTGATCCGACGATAGTACAACTAATATTGCACTCATATTCAATACATGTACTTAAAATATTAGTATAGCCTACAATATGTATGGCCAAAACCTTCATGGCTACAATATCATTTCCGACTAATGCTTTAAAAGCGTAAGTGAGCTGGTCTAATGTTTAGAGTGCAGGACTTCGGTTCCTGAGGTCTCGGGTTCAAATCCCACGAAATCACCAATGGATTTATCTAAGTGATAATGCCGCAACCCCTAAGTCTAGCCAGATAATTATTTTGGTGCTCGTATTTAATATTATGTATGCAATACATTTTGTACTAACACAACTGTTTTCCCAGAAGAAAGTTTTTTGATCATTTAAATTTTCCTAGGAAAAAATAATAACCTCGTGAAACATATAACTTTGATGTGTAACATTGACACTATATGAGTGTAATACATATTTACTGGGAACTAAAAAAATAATTCAATATTATTTTATGTAAATCATCAGATTAAAAAGTTGTCTCTAATATTATGTGTAGGCAATCTACGAATATGGAAGCCCGTGATCGCAATAAAAAGCTTTCTATTTCCTATTCCACTATAAAACTTTGCAGTGTCAGAATTGACATTGTTATATATGTACGTTCAATTATTCAGCCTAAAGAAAAGATTATGTAAACCCCAATTTATTTCAATTAATGAGGATTTCTTGCAAAGTTGTACTAAAAAATAACTCACAAACATTTGAAATTCTGTTACGTTGATAATATTGCTTAGTGTACTGTAGATTATTTATCTAAGGAAAATTAAATTCTATACATGGTGAACATGCCTATAAGTTGATTAGTCGACCTGTAATTTGTAAAGTTGATCAATACTACTTGCATGGTTAAAAAATATTGTTATTAGCATTCATTGCCCGTTTAATCTGGTTTTATTTAGTTATATATTAGGTTTACTTAAACGTTTTTGATATAGAAGACTTCTAGGGAGGTATAAAATAATAAACCCCAAAACTTACAATCTATAGATTAATTTTAAAAAGTTTCTCTTAATAGCATTAGTTTAAAAAAGTCAAGTCTGCAATCATTGCGTTTTCAGTTTTCACACATTTCCTGCGTCTTGGTCATCTCAAATAAACTATACAATTAGTTCCAAACCAACTTTTTTATGTTCAATATTTTTTTAGTCCTTATTTGTTACAACACAATAGCTAAGCTAATAATAATCCATTCACAAAGTATGACATTTGATTATTACTTTTTAAACAAGGAAAATACTTCTTAGATAAGCAATTATTAATATAAATTGATTTTAGGCTATTCTGTAACAAAACTATTTTATTTTACCTTTTTATTAAAAGTCTTGCTGTAACCTCATGATTCCCAAAAACGCCCAAAAACATTTCAGATACTTACGAGACCATGTTAAAATTTAATGTGTCACCTTTTCATTAAATTTTACCAAGCCTAACCAGAACTTTTACAGATAAATTTATTTTAATGATTATATTTTTCGATGAAACTAACATAGTTTTTTTTTAACTAAACTCATTATTTTTATTGAGCCCTTTATAAATAAATAGTTAATGCGTAAACTTTGTAGCTCCTATAAAGTTTAACAATTATGTGGCATGTTTCTTAAGAACACATTGTGTCCTATAGGTGTGATTAAAATCACTTTAAACATCCCTAAAGCTAGGTGTTGTTGAACCGAAGGTTGAATTTGGGAATGATTTTTATTTATGGGACTTGAAACATTTCCTAATGACAGTTTTTCGTACTAGTATGACGCGACTTGTGCTTTGTTTAAGGTGCCAGATGAACAGATGTAATCAACAAATTAACTAGACTCACTCCCCTATTGCAGGTAGTCGGTAGTACTACTAATTTGTTGAAAACATTATACAATGCACCAAACATCGTGCATACGTTATAGATTGTTAAATAGTAAATTGTATAATACGTGTTACAAGTTTAAAAATTATAATAAAAAATGAAAAATTTGACATATTAGATCTAAACGCCAAAAAACAACATAAACTAAAACAGATTAAAAGTGGGTGGATCTAAAACAATTAGTTACTCATTCATTTTGTGCTTTTAAAATTGACTACACTGAGGGGAGGAATTTTTAACTAAACAAAATATATTTAATTTTCTTCGATATGTAAAACATCATTTTCAGAATGTGTCAAACAATTGCTATACTGGCATGGTTTTTGCTCTCACAGGCAACTACAGCTGTCTCAAGGTAGACCTCATCTTCACCAGGGACAGAGCTTTCTACTTCACGACAGTGTTCATACCGGGAATAATCCTGGTCACTTCGTCATTCATCACGTTCTGGTTGGAATGGAACGCGGTACCTGCGAGGGTTATGATAGGTACGTACTCAGTTAAAAATACGAGGTGGTTGTAAGGGGTTGTGTGTATAGCTTTTAAGTTCGCATGTATGAGACTCCTCGCGCTTACTGGTATCATTTGTGAACAGAACTGTGTCATGTGCAGCTCTAGAGGTCACGTGTACATTTAACTGTGTGTCTAGATTTTTTTTATTATTGAATCTCCCGTCGCATGCAGGAAAATGTCAATGATATGTTTTTGACTGCATGAAACAAATCGGCTGCAGACATTTATCGCTAGATGACTGATGTTTATGAACCTAATGCCATTGATGAGAGTAAAGGGCAGAAATAAACTGTACTTTGTTTAAGTAGCTCCTAAAAGAGTATCTGTCTTGTTTGCTATTATACAAAAACATCTTTTACCATTATGCTCTGTTTTACTATATTAAACAGAGCAGGAAGTACTCCGCCAAGGCACCAACACAAAAATTTAGAAATAGCATACAAAGGCAATTAAAGCCAAGTTTAATGTAAGTTAATTTAGTTTTGAAAAACATGATCAGAAACTAAAGTTAACTTAGTTTTCTATTAGGCTTCACTTTCGTCTGTTCCATTCCCCGTATTTAGGATGACACAAAGGCCATCTCTCAATTGAGTTACGAACATCACGTAATAATGTCATTGCTCCGAATGTCAAACCTATTGACGTCACAACTGACCACGTACCATTGGTTTAACAACGTTTAAATCTTACCTCTGAGACTGATGAACTGCATGTTTCATATATATAACATAGTCGTGTGTGTAGGAACTAAATTTTTAAAGCAATCGTTTTTTTCAGGTGTAACTACAATGCTCAACTTTTTCACTACCTCTAATGGTTTCCGGTCGACTCTACCTGTGGTATCCAACCTGACTGCCATGAATGTATGGGACGGTGTTTGTATGTGCTTCATCTACGCCAGTTTGCTTGAGTTTGTCTGTGTTAACTACGTTGGACGCAAACGCCCGCTCCACAACGTCGTCTACAGGCCTGGTGAAAACCCTGTTACCCAGGTATGCTTACGCTTAACTTGAATTATTGGCAGTTTTCTTTCTACATTACCTCTACAAATTTGTTAGTACTTTTAATTTAAGATATTATTTTATTATTTTTTAGAGTATTTAAATTTAATTTACATTTTTCTTACCTAAAGACCACTGAAGAGTACTTGTCACAGTTAAATATCCTCCTTTGTAAATTCTACGTATATTTTTTTGTATTTCATTAGTTTTTGCTTTTATAGAGTTAGTTTAGATTTCATGCAGCATTGATGTTTTTTACATTGTGGTTCACTGTGATTAGGCAGATATACATAACCAATTATAACACAAATAGTAGGAAGTACTTTTGTTAAATAACTAACTCTATATAGACATATCTTAACTAATAATTAGTGCTATTTTGATGTTATTGCTCGAAATTCAACACTAGAAGGTCTTTAACAAATTTTAACTACCATCAGAGTATTTTCTTACATTTGTCATCACAAAAGTGAAAGCTGTTGATTAGGCTTTCATTTCAAATAATCATGAAAGAGAACACACCAATACTCTAAACTACATCATTACATAGTTACAAGAAATGTATGTGTAATACTGTTAAAATCCCCTAGTCAAAATTATTTTTATCAAGAGTCAGTTTGGTCAGTATTTTTGGTGTTCATTGAAAGGTTTAATGGTTTTTGACAGTTTTAAAACTTAAATCAATCATTATATATATAATAATATATTTATATTTATTGCAATATAAAATTTTTCATGGTAATGATGGATATAAATTTATTATTCCCTATTGAGGAATCTTGCAAAAACAAGCACATGCATCCCTCTTACAGTTGTATGTCTAAATTGGCCAAATCAAGAACAATTCAGGTAATGGTTTTATTATTTCACGTTGTTGCGTGGTATTTCACGTTTATTGATTGATTTGGTTTGTATTGTCCATTATCTTCTGCGACTTCTTCTAGTTCTTTTGCCCAAAGTGTTAATCATTATTTTTGTCGACTGCTTAATGCTGACTCCTTCATATTAGTTAGTTTTAGTTTTAATTAGTGTTTTAAGTGTCTTTATAGGCAAACCGCCCATATGACTATCGGTTTTCCTTCTGTACTTTAGTAGCTTGTTGTTTACTAAATTCCCTAATCAGCTATGTATGATTTATACTTTGCAAAAGTATTATAGTTGATTCTTATAAAATGCTAAATCCAATTTTGAATCTTGTTCGCCTGTAAATATTAAGTATATTTACTCTGTTTTCAAGGCCTTTTTACAGCTTCCAGCTTAAATACTACCATTTTGGTATTAAAACCAACCAACCTACCAATGTGGTAGTTAAGGTATCTAGTAACGCTAAAAACACATATTTCACTAAATTTGTATCACATTTCCGTAACTTATTTCCATGTTCATTCATATACAAGTTTACACTAAAGAAAGTAATTCTGCTTGTTTAAATACTACCCCTGAATCATCCAAACTTTGGACATTTTTATGAATGTTTTATCAAGCTGATGGCTGCATCAATCTACCCACATTTTTCACCTATCAGATTTTTTTATTCTTAAGGAGGTTCTTTTTCTTCTTTCATGGAATTCTACAGACTCAAGTTCTTTATTAAAAACAAATATTTAATATTTTTACTAATGGATTATTGTTTGATTAATTTTCTACCACATTATTAGCGTAATCCATTTCATCATTTTAATTTAATGGGATTTTCAAGCTTAGACTTAAAACAAAGGTTAATGAATTTTTATTCAATTGAAAAACTGATAATAATTTTTCTCGCCTATAAAAGTTTCCTCAGAACTTTGTCAAACTCTTATCACATACTTTTTGTCAATCCACAGTTATAGAAAACTGTTTAGGAACGTACCATAGTTTTGATAACTCATCAAAAATCAGAAAAACCTTTGCAACATATGCGGCTAATGAATCATATTTGCTGCAATTGAGGGAGGAACTAGTTCGTTATGAGCCCCTTAAAATTATGGAAGAACAATTAATTATGGAAGAAATCTTTGAGTCACTTAGTACTGCTTAAAACATCATAGAAATTTACCTTAAGCCAGTAGTTAATGTATAAATATTTTTTCAGATATTTAAATATATTTGTTACGTAAATTTCATATTGAATGATTTGTGTTGTGTACTGAGCATGTATGAACAAGTTTGCATTGTATTTTAAATTTACAGAGGTGCCCTATCGTTATGTTTATGAAGGGCTTTGAGCGTAAGGATTTTTATTTAAAAATATGTTTAAATATATCCAAATTGTTCTTTGTTATAGGCTGAATTCAGTGCTTAATTTCAGAAGGTATATGCTATGAAAAGTGATGTCAATTTAAAAAAAAATATTTCAGAAAGTTTCAGCATTCAAAGAATGTTCCACGAATAATATTATTGTGGATGTAATTAGAAAGTTTAATAATTTATTTCAAATGTCATCTATATCATGGAATTATATTGGGTTCTCGATTTTATTTGTTTTAAAAGACTAAAGTTTTGAGGTATTTGTTTTGTTTGGTCTTTAAGTGTTTGGTCACTACAAAAGTGATATTTCTTCATTCATATAGGTTCTTAAACGTTTTCAAGGGACATGTTCCAATATATTTTTATAGAGGAAAGTGTGCATATATTAAATTTAAAAAAAATACATCATGTATAAATGTTATAAATTATTATGAGAATTTTTAACAAGATATAAACTAACTGTGCTAACAGTATACTTCTAACACTATCCATTTAAGTAAAAAAATGTATTCATAGAAATATTTAAAGATTAATTTATATCTCTCCAAGGGAAGTCCAAAATCTTTGAACTTTGTAAAATTCTTCTACTGTAGTTTGTTTGGTCATTTATTCTTCTCATTAATTTTGAAAGTTCTGAAATACAAGCTGCAACTCAACTTACTGAACAATCATATTTGGCATATTTGAAACTGCCAAATCAGTCTTATCACATCCATATTGGTCAAGTTTTCTCCTTTGCTAGGTGATGAGTTTGTTTTTTCAAAATTAAAATTCCTTCAAGAGCAAGTAAGATGCTTCCAGTACAAACATTTTTTTGACTCAGTGGCTCAGTGGTATCACCATAAACTTTGGGCCCAAGGCAGTTTTTTTGTGGGTTCGGATCTTGGTACCTACCCCAATTTCTTTTCTGTACACTTCACCCTTGTACTGTATCAGCTCGGCCGTAGCTTGTGTGGAGGGCCAAATTTAAGGTTAAAGTAGACCACCAACCTCTTTATAAAAAAAATTTTAAGTTTACAATTACTGCTATATTGAGGACTAATCTATGTTGGAACTTGAGCTAATGTATTGCTACTAAATGCAGCATGAAAATTCCTCTATTGTCATTGCTATTAAAGATTCATACTAAGGTTGTCATCAACTATGCACAAAGATCAGTCATGCACACATGAATATTCTATGCTCAAATTAATCATGCTCATGCTCTCACCTAGGCATACCACAGCAATCTTAAGCCGGCCGGAGGAAGGTGTTACGAGTATGTTAGCAGAGTTAGATGTCAGGTAGCAAATATAGCTCTGAGCACAGCAATATTCAAGTGAAATCTATGATATAAGATATGATTGATTTAATAAATATTTTATAAAATTAAATCTACCTCTTGTATTTTATGAGTAAATGAGAATATTTTAAATCATAGATAAAATTAAATTAAATTTTAATTACAAGCTGAATGCACTTCAGGAACATAAGTAATACATTAACAATCCATTGTGTAGAATTTAATGAAATCTTACATTCAAATTAAAGTTAATGTAATTAAAGTTTTAAAGCTTTGTCTTATAACTGTTCTAATTAAAATAACTGATTAAAGAGTGCTCACTTGAACGCCGAAAAATTAAGATATAATCATACTTTAAATCTCAATTCATAACAATCTTTGAGGACTTTAATATAATGAATTTATCAGACAATCTATACCATACTTACAGCAAATTGTACAACCGATGATATTGTTCAATTTCTTCCAGTAAATATTTTTGTTGGGAGGTGTTAGTTTGGTGCTTAGGATAGTAGTCACAACTAAATTTATTTTGTAGATGGTTTACACTTTTCCCATATCTTCTAATGGTTTTTACATTATAAAGCAATAGTCGATACAGTTAATAAACATGTTTAGAAATTAAGCACTGCATTAGGTCACAACAATCTAAAACAACCTTACACATCAATTCACATCTACCATTCCGCTGGGCACCTTTGTTTAAGTTATTTTGTATGGTATTTGTTTTGATAACATTCAAACTGTTAACTATTAATTGTATCTAATTTTTATTCTTAGCAGGAGTTTAGAAATCTTTCACAATTGCACGATATTTTGGAAATAAGACTTACTATTAAAGTTTATTCCTTAAAACTACTTTTACACTTTCCAATATCTCGGGTAAGTGGGCATGGTTTAAATACTTACCTGTATGGTTGTGGCAGTTAGTGTGCTTGCATGTGTGAGTGTTTCTGGTGTAAACAGAAGTATTTTTATACGTTATATAACTATTACATTTCAAAATATGATATTCAACAAGCTCTACTTATGTTATATTTTTGAAACAAAATATCCAAACTTGAAATATATTTATGTGGAAAACAAACTTTATAAACAATATTATAAAGTGTAGTATTTTTGTAACAAGCATTTTTAGAATAAAATATACCGTAATACTAACAAGATTAGGTGGATAAGGTTTTCCAGTTTATTCCATTTGCCTATCTTTCCTCTTTTTACTTGCAGTCCTCACTATGTAGACAAAAATGTAGAGCATTTCTTTTTATATGATTTTAGTTTTCAACAATTCATGGCCAATTGGAAATACCATTTCTGTACCATATTGCTCTAAGGTTCATATTTTATCAGACATCATTAAACATGCTATAATACACAAGTAATGTCACAATCAGCAACATTTACAAAGCACTAATATGCAGGTTATAAAACAAGTCTGAACCTTTATAATTCTTTAACTACTGTATTCTAGATGTTTGGA